ATGGATTTGTATCATTTCCGGAATATAAAGAATTTTCTTTAAGCATTTGAATAACTTTTTTGGGATGGGATGCAGGTGGACTTTAGAATAAAGGGTAACATGTTAGTTCCTTCAAAAGATCTAGATAATGATGAAAACGGTACAAACATAGTCAACACAGCCAAAGATCACGGGAATCCAATATCAAATGAAACATCGCATATTACATGCCAGGGTATAATATACAAGATATATAAAAACTAGAAACGACTCGTTGCGAGCAACGAGAGGTCTTCCGTCCGATTCCGAAGAAAAAAACGTAACGTCGACTGAATAAGTAAATAAAAATTGCAGACAAGGGGGATTGAACCCAAGTCGCCAGCATGAAAATCCAACGAGCTAAATACTACGTTATTGGAACCTCCTCTCTAAATCTAATTGTATATACATCTGCAACAGCGCTTCTGTCTTAGAATAATGAAAGGCCGGTAACTATTCAAAATTTCGTGCCAAACGCCACAAGTCAATCTCCGCGCCTTTTCTTTGGAATGTTCTATAAAATAGGTGTGTTAGCTTCAATGAAATAAAAAAAAGTTCTTATATCCTAAAATTTGAGGTTTAGAATGTATATTTAACACATTTCACAAAATCCATATTGTACATAGGCAAGTTACACAAAATCAATGAAACGGTTATGAATTTTTAACTTTTTTTTTAATTTCCTGCTTATCCCCAAAGTGAACTATAGCAATTAGTTAAGCTTCTATGAAAAAGTTGAAATATTTCGCCGAAAATCATGGCTCGCCTGATGACGGTCAAGGAATCGATACCATTTACGCCCAATAACTTGAATCAGATCTTTGAGGCAAGAATGCTAATATAAAACTCCATGCCATTCACCGATCTTTAAAAAATGTTTTTCTTATTTTTGTCTTTTCTATTAGTATAATATGACACAAATGTGCATGGTAAAAACAGTCCTTAAGTTTTATGATTACAATTCATCGATATTCTTAGTTGAGAAAGTATTACTTATAAATCTGATTTAAGATCTGTCTTTCCGTTGTGCACGAAAGATATTAAGTAAATCGAATTTCATCAGCACATTTAGTCTTTTCTTTTTCTACTTTGTGAACCAGTCAAAACCAATTATAGAAGACGTTAGTTCGACACAGAATTGCAACGTAACTACGACGTGACAATCCAAGTATTCTTTTACATTTCATTTCTCCTTATGTTATTTTCGTTCAAGCAAACGCTCGGCTGACTCCGTAAACCCCTATTGCGAAATGTCGGCGTTGACAGAGACAGCCGCCATTTTGGATCCGCTTCAGATTTTTGAATGCTAATACCTAGAGTATAGATTTACCAATATTCAAACAAATTAGATAGTAAGCATTATAGGGAGGGTTTCTATTAAGATACCAAAAATAAATGAAGAATATTGAAAAACAAAAAAAGTTAAAAAATTCGATTTTTTTAAATTTACATCTCGTTACGACCGGAAGTACTGACGACGCGCGAAAAGGCGATTCTGCAAACCAGAAAGTCATGATCTATCATCTCCAATAAGTCTCCAGTTCATATCCTCAGCCATTTTCGACAAAAAGGGGCGACAAAATTGCATTTTAAAATCAGGATATTGGCCATAACTTGGAACCGGAATCGTATTTTCCAAATTTTTCTTCGGATGTAACAGCTTCATATAATGACACATATTTTGTGAAAGTTTTGTGAAAAACCGCTGAATAGTTTTCGAGAAATCGCCTGCACAAAATTTTGTCAAAAAAAGAATAATAATAATAACTAGATGCGTTCTTGTTGCTAGGGCAACAAGCAGGTCTTCCGCCCGACTTTTCGTTAGAAATCTCAGCTCTGTCAGGCCATGAAACAGATTTCAGAATGTATTTTTATCGTTTACTTTCATTGACAGCAGTCTCTCAACATAGATCGTGATTATTACAGTTATTCCACAAAATATCTCAAAATATAGCTTTTAAAAATCGACAAAATCTTCCATATAAGATAAAAAAGAAAGAAAAGTCATATGCAACTGAAAGGAGACAGAAACAAAGAAAAAATTTTTGCAACGCCCCCAGCGGGATTCGAACCCCCGACAGTGAGACAAAGTTTGGATCGGTCATATCTTTGCAACAAATGCACGCATGAAAATGGTGAAAACATATTTAGAGTTCTTAAAAGATACTCTATCAACCCTGTGATTTCCAAAGAAAATTAGTGAAAAACAAAAAAGTTGAAAAATTAGACTTTTAGAATTCACTTCCGTTTGCGACCGGAAGTCAGAACGACGAAAAATGAAGGTCGATCAACACATCTACATTCGATGTTCTATCACGTCCGTAAGTTTCAGTTTTATATCTGTTACTGTTCTCGAGAATTTTTTGCGACAAAATTCCATTTAAAAAATACAAATTTCCCCAAAAAACGCGAACGGAAGTAAATTTCGAAAAAGTGAAGGACACCCCTGGAGATATTAACATGATGCACCATCCCTGAAAAAATCGTTCAAATTGAACCACGCACAGCGGAGATATGACCTGTACTATGAAAAGTGGAATAATAATAATAATAATAATAATAATAATAGAAAACAGAAGGAAAACAATAAGGTCTTCCGAAGGAAGTCGGAAGACCTTAATAAATAAGAAACAATAGAATCACTATAAGGTCTTCCGTGAAGACGGAAGACCTTAACAAGTAGAATATTTTCTACCATTCTCTCGTAAAAAAGTATAATAGAGAAGATGACTGGAGGAAACTGAATGTGTGAGAACCTATATACTCAATATATAAGAAAGACGTACACATATATAATCTCAGAAAACGTATTATCCCCCCTCTCTCTCTCTTTCTCTCTCTCTCTCTCTACTAGGCAAAAAATAAAGGGGGGGTCCAAACCCCCCCCCCTCTGGATCCGCCAATGCACCGTAGGCCAAGTGTTTATGCGGAGCGTAGCGTATCAGAAACCCTTGGCTAACGAAGATGAATCCAAAATTGAAAACTGTTTTGCACAATTGATTCACAATTTTTTCCTGTTGGGGAAACTACAGCTCTCCGGTCGTTAATATTTTTAGAAAGCTACTCTTCTACAGTTAAAATTGACAAAAGTGTGTTTTTAATGCCACTATTACCCCCAAAATCTGTAACTTCAAAAGCTGGTATTCCTCTCATATATTTTAAAAAAAATATATAGATAAAGAAGCAGAATGCAATTTATCCGCAAGAATAAAACGTTCCTAAATCTAAAAGTGTAGTAGGAGTTATCCCAACAAGTAATGTAAAGTACCCTTGAAACAGCCTGCTCTGCTAAGATTGTTATCTCTGTTTAAACGCGCTGGCCATTTAGTGATCAAAGATCTTCCGATTCATTTCATTTACAAACTTTATTTTATTTTGTTTGTTGAATAAAGAAATCAGTAAGGTCATTTAACATACAAAAACATTACTTGAACAATGCAAGAGCTTAATAAATTTTATGTTCTTGCTGTGTAAGTTAGTGTGTTATATACTCTACATATGTAAAATCATAAATGTTAGAGGCTTTACCTCACCACAGTTTATAAGCAGGTTATAACATAAATCTATTTAATCATATACAAGTATGAGATATTATACATTCGGATCTTTTTTATTTCCCGATAAAAAAAGTGGTAAAGTTTTTTTTTCTTGGAATCTTGTATAAAAATTATTGTTTTCGTGTTTTCATGCCAAGAAATCACTTCAAATTTTCCAAAGCAATGGTCGAGTCAATAAAATGAAATTGATGAAAACCACCCATATTCCCAAACGCTGGCAAGACAATTTACGGCAACAGATTTCAGCGGGGGGATCCTAGCTAGGTTTTCTTTCTTAGTTAAAGAAAAATAAACTTGACACATTCCACCTTTTATTTCAATCATTGATATTTTTACTTTAAAATGAATTTTTTTTTTAGAGCCAATGTTTTGATATAGATATACATGTACGTAAAAATTTGAAAGGCAGCTTATTTTTTTATGAAGAATTAGTTTATTATAATTAATTTAACATTTTATTTTTCCTTTATTTAACTCTTTAAACAGCTTGATTTAGAAGCCCCAACCCCACTCCCCCAAAAAGGGTGTGTATGCAAGGGTTCTAAATAATAAGTATATTCTAACTGTCATGTTTTAACAGGCACATAGCATCTTTTTTTAAAGTGGGGGAGGGGCAACCAGGGAAAATTCTTTTTTTCTTACGAGCAAAAAAAAAAGAGAGAGAGAGAGAGAGAGAGAAAGCCTTTGTAGAAGCGAGGGGGGGGGTGTTAGAGGCCAACTTTTTGCAAGGCCAAATAACTTAATTCCTTTCACTTCCAAATTTTTTTTTGCATACAATATACTACATTTCCTTGATATCACTTTAATTTACTCTTTACTGTGGTTAGAAGTGGGGATGTAAATCTTAGATCCCTTCCCTCAAAACTGCTGACATTAATTGCCTCACGCGCACATCTCCCTGGGGAAGAATATTGAGTTTGCTCTCTGGATAGAGTGTGTAAGTTTTCTTGACATGACTATTGTATCGGTAAAACGATCGATCCATAAATTTTAATGACAATGGTACAGACCAGTTGTTATATCGACATGGCATGTCATAAAATGGTTTAAAATCAAACTGAATTTGAGTAATTGAAAAATACATGTACATACATGTAGCTTAAAAAATAATTTCTGTTGACATTATATGTAGTCTGAACTTCATTGTTGGAAATATCATTTCATTTGGTTTTCTTTTACATACTATACCCCTTTTCTACAGAAAAAATGTTATAAATTGAAACGTAGTATTTAATACTGGGAAAAAAAATGTTATTGCATATAAATTGTGTTCAGTAAATTCATCTTCACCATGATTTAAAAGAAATTGAGCTGTCATGGCAATGATGATTTCATATGGTCTTTTAAATATAGATTACCGAACGAAAAAAAATATGTAACACAAATAATATTGATTTCTTTCCGCTTTGTGAAATTAAGCAAACCATGTCAGTCGAGCTTTTTAGGAAAGCTAATACTTGTAGTAACTTGGCTTTGAAAAAGTTGGCCACAGAGGAGGGCAGACATTCACGCTTTTGTGACTCCATTCAGGTTCCGCTAACCAGGCTCATCCCTGTCAGGAATGAGGTAAAAATGAGGAACACACAAATTTCACAGTTGAAAAGTGTCTGGAACATGATTTCTTTGTAGTCAGGGTGGAAATGAGCTATTAAAATAAAAAAATAAATTATCAAACTTTTTAAATTTTAAGGGATATATTATGCACATTCTTTCAAATCTGTATAAAAATAAGGAATTTTTTTCACGCAAATGAACTTCATAAGGGGTTATCAAAAAGTTCGTGGACTGAGGCTATAAAATTAGTACAATGTGGTCTGTGCTTTCAAAATTTATATTAAACATAAAACAACAAAAAATAAAGAAATGTTGAAAATTTTAGCCTGATATGTTCATTATTTGCTGAATTATTATAAAATTAAAACGACATCAGGGATCGACACTAACTTTAAAACCATAGTTGTCAGCAGGGCAAGCCATTTTTAGCTCTACTGGTCAGAGACCAGAAGAGCTTATGCGATAGAAATGCGTCCGGCGTCCGTCCGTCTGTCTGTCTGTCTGTCTGTCTGTCTGTCTGTAAACAATTTTTCAAAACGCTACTCCTCCTACAGTTTTGGTCTGATTTCAATATAACTTGGCACACCAGTAGACTACACTAAGATACATAGAATAGTGCATCGGTTTTTAATTTCGATGAACGGTGTTGCCATGGTTACTAAAAATAGAATTTTCTGTGAAATTCCTTCAAAACGCTACTCCTTTTACAGTTTTGGTCTGATTTTAATATAACTTGGCACACAAGTAGACTACACTAAGATACATAGAATAGTGCATCGGTTTTTAATTTCGATGAACGGTGTTGCCATGGTTACTAAAAATAGAATTTTCTATGAAATTCCTTTAAAATGCTACTCCTTCTACAGTTTTGTTCGGATTTCAATATAACTTGGCACACAAGTAGACTACACTAAGATACATAGAATAGTGCATCGGTTTTTAATTTCGATGAACGATGTTGCCTTTGTTACTAAAAATAGAATTTTCTGTGAAATTCCTTTGAAACGCTACTCCTTTTACAGTTTTGGTTTTATTTCAATATAACTTAGCACACAAGTAGATTACACTAAGATACATAGAAGTGCATCGGTTTTTGATTTCAATGAACGGTGTTGCCATGGTTACTAAAAGAATTTTCTGTGAAATTCCTTTAAAACGCTACTCCTTCTACAGTTTTGGTCTGATTTCAGTATAACTTGGCACACAAGTAGACTACACTAAGATTCATAGAAGTGCATCGGTTTTTGATTTCAATGAATGGTGTTGCCATGGTTACTAAAAATAGAATTTTCTGTGAAATTCCCTTAAAATGCTACTCCTTCTACAGTTTTAGTTTGATTTCAATATAACTTAGCTCACAAGTAGACTACGCTAAGATACATAGAATAGTGCATTGGTTTTTGATTTCGATGAACGGTTTTACCATGGTTACTAAAAATAGAATTATCTGTGAAATTCCTTTAAAACGCTACTCCTTCTACAGTTTTAGTTTGATTTCGAAATAGGTTTCGACACAAGTAAACTACACAAAGATACATAAAAAGTGAAATGGTTTTTGATAAGTACAAACCAGTAGAGCTACAGTCTCGACAGAGACTTCTGGTTAATTTCTACTAGCCTTATTCATGTATTAGTTGTCCAGCAGCCGAAGGCTGGTGGCCGAGTCGCGAAGCGATGAGGGGGTAGGTGCAGGAGGGGGTCTCCCTCTCCTGCTGGTGGGGGTACAGGGGGCTTCCCCCGGGAAATTTTGAAAATAGAGGTGCCAACTCCTGCAATTTGGCTGTATTTTGGGTAAAGATTATATGTATTTTAATGATTTTACCTAAGACATTTTTCTGTTCGAAAAAGTCAACATTTATAATAATTTAGAGCATTTCGAATCACCTTTAAATTTTACATTTTGACTTGCAAAAATAATAATTCTGATGATAAAACTTGTTTGAAAATAGATTTAACAATTATCAGGTACATTGCGTGCAATTGATAATTCTAGTGCTCTAAGTGAGTATTGGAAAAATTCTTAGTAGCCCTGGAGGGCAAGTTTAAAGGCATGTTTAGTAGCCCGACCTCAATATTCAGTTGTCCCGGGCCAGCGGGCTACCGTTAGTGTCGAAACCTGGTCACATGATATGATCACGTGGCGCTGTCGTCGTTTATTTTCATGACATCCGATTGCTTTTTTCAATGTCCCCTTCTTCTACCTCATACACTTTTTTGATGAGATTCCCTGGAGCTGAGAAAGGACTTAAACCCGCCTTGTTTATATGACATGCCATGAACAGTGACCTTCAATGAATATAATATTTCAAATGGATTAATACATTTGGAGAGATCCTCGCTTGATTGTGCCGGCATATTTTGCTTTTTGGAGCTCAATATCTACTGTACAACACATGATCGGCAACATCATTTTTTGACGTGATTGACTTTTCACACCTTGACTGCAAATCAACATCGTGTATCCCTTTTTCTCCCTAAATCTATTTTCATTAAAAGACAAATACTCTGGATGTATATTAATACTCTGTAGCCAGTTTCAATATATTTTAGGTCTATTCCAGTCCAGTATTCCAGTTTCAGGGGCAAAACTTTATAGAATATTGGAAACGGAAACATCCCCCCCCCCATTTAACGTCATTGTTAAGGCCTCATTTGTTTGGACAATCCGTGTAAAATTTACGATAAAATTTTCTAAAGCTTTCAGATATAAGTGAAAATTTCATATTTTATGGAACAATGGTGTCCCGACACATACCTGAATTAACGGGATTTTTAAATGTTAAATGATCATATCAAAAGAGTTTTTCTCATTAGCACATACATGGGTCGCAAAAACGTCGTTTTCGAGGTTGCGCCACCTGGACATACAATTGCTTATAAATACATTACTAATTTATTATAAAATAAAATTTATTATTTATGGTTTATACTTAAGATAGAAAAGGTGATGCTAACTTAATTGTTATTTTAAAATTCGTTGATTTGCCGAAAACGGTTTTAATTTTATGACGCTAGTCCACGAACTTTTTGATAACCCCTCGTATTAATAGCATTATTGTATTTAATAAATACTAGTAAGAGATTTACTTGTATACAATGTAAGAAGAGAGAAAGTGGATGATTTTGAATACATTTATAAAGCTAAATGTTTAAGGCCTCTTTTTTTATTTTAATCCAGATCTACAAGTCTGCCAGTGTGCCAGTGAGGGAGTCCCTGGTGACAGCCATCAAAGCCATTCTGCTCCCCCAGGACGACGGGACTTTCCCCTTCCAACAGACTTTGCCTGTGACAGGGGATGGTAACCATGGTAACAGTCTCAGTAATCAGGTGTGTTGTGTGGTGGCCGAGCTACAGACCCAAGCCTGTACGGTGCTCGCTCAGTATCTACAGGACATCGAGTTCACTGAGGAGATCATTCAGCATTGTGGATCCACTATTGATATTCTGAAGTCCCTGGCAAGGATTATAATAATTCGGGTTTGTCAAATCTTGTTACTCATTTTTTTCACTTAATATCTTTATTAACAAATGATTAGCTGAGACATTTTACATGTACTAAAAAATGTATTATTATATTACAGGAGGTAGACTAGCTGTTGTGGAAGTCCACTGCAACAGACTTAGGCTACTACAAAAGGATTGTGCTAAACCTCCATCTCCACCCAGCAAGCTTGACAGTCAGGCTGTGAGTAAGTTGAAATGATTAAAAATGAAAAATTTCTGGATTAAGCAAAATTAAAGTAAAGCTTTATTTACAAAGAGCTCAATCTTAAACTCTAATGCAGCATCATTAAATAAGTGAGGTAAAATGTATGAATCTGAAAAATGAGTCTTTATTAAATATAGTTTATACTTTGTCAAGTTAAAAATTGTAAACAGTGTTTTATGTACAGAATCAGGTCCGGGCCTTTGTATTCTCTCAGAACATGACTGGAGTGACCTTCCTTGGTGACCCCAGCACAGGAAGTGGACTTCCCTGGGGCACCATGATCTATGCCAACCAATCAGTTCCACAACAGGTAGAGCAATACCAGGAAAAATATTCTTTCATAGAAGTCATTAAATTTTTTTTTTATATGATTGAATAATTTTTTTCTCTCTGATTGGCTTAGATCCAACTATGTTAGAAAAATATTACGTTGTATTGACCTGCATGTGATGTTCCAGGTCAATACAAGGAATTATTGCAGGTCAATATAAGGAATTATTGACCTGTTCCATTTTTTCTATTACAATGTGTTCTTGTTGAAAATTATTGTTAAAACTGTCAATTAACGCAAAGAAACAGTCTTATAGGAGTTTTCTATAATTTAATCATATAATAAAACAGTTATTGCTATTTTTTAGGTCAATACGATGATTAAGCCACCCTCGAAGTACAATACATGTATTCACTTCGCCCTTCGGGCTCAGTGAATATTGTACTCCTCAGCTGTCTAAATCATTGTATTGACCTAAAAAATAGCAATAATTGTATAATATTCATGTACATGCAACTACATTACAACTCACTGAATGCCGTTATATTGAATTAAAAAATATTCCCTCTGCATAGCAGAGGAAATACCGTTAAAGCTAATTTCTATTGCATGAATGCCTTGAAAATAAAGAATTTAATCTTAATTCTTTTTATATTTAGCATAAGTTAGAATATCACCTATATTCCTTTAAATTTGTATGTGTACATGAAACCCATTAATTCAAAACTGAACAAAAAATATTGAGAGAGAAACAGTTGCCCCATTTCTGTACTTTTAATACAGACTCCAATGTTTTACTGGGAGCTGGAGATCTGTTCGTTTGGAGACGGTCAGGAGGAGAACGATGTGGTCATCTCGTTTGGCTTTGCTCCGTCGGCCGACAAGAAAGATGGAGCCTGGACTAACTCTGTAGGAACCTGCCTCTTCCTAAAGTAATTCCTTCAGTATAATTTGAGTTTTTCTATAGTTTTACATCTGCATAACATGGAGTGTTTAATTCAATTTTGATCCCAGGATGAAAAAAAATGTGATCAGAAATAAATGTTCTATAGCAATGGTAAGGCTGTCCACTACAGTGGAGCCAGTCTACTTCATTGGAGGAGTGTTAGACTAGACATCACCCTGAATGCTGGGGACATGACGGGTATAGGGTGGGAGAGGACAGGAGAGTCCCCTGTACAGGGACACACCCCCAGGGGGAGGTCCTACTTCACATATAACGGGCACCGCCTCAATGCCTACATGGATGATGTGTCGGGTGGAATGTATCCTGTTGTTCATATTCAAAAAAAGGTGAGGTGCTTTTTTATAACACCCCTCCCCTCTCTCCAATGTTTTGTTTTCATTTTAACAGCAGAATTTGCATAACTTGATATCTGTATGTATGCTGACTGGGGTATATTTTTTAGAACACAAGAATCAGAGCAAACTTTGGAATGAGGCCTTTTGCTTTTGCCAAGGGACAGCAACACATGGAGGGGGCTGATGCAGCGAATGACCTGACCAGAGAGATCAGGGAGAGTTTCTGTCACCTGCCATTCCACCCCCACACTGACAGTGAGAACGAGGGAAGCCCCCAGCCCTGATACCACCATTGTGGAGGAAATCAAAGCCCTGAAAGGACCCCGCCATGTAAAACTGCTACCATACCAAAACCACAGAATGGTACTTTATCTGTTTATCACAGTTTATATTACTATGGTTTCTGTAGATGTACTTTTTTCCATGGTTTCATAACTCAGCAAAATCTCAATTTCCATTTAATCAGGGGATTGAAAATTACGTGGATTTCTTAGACTGTGACTATTTGCCTTGCATCTATGTTAAGTATACTTGGACAAATTTCCGTGGAAAATTTCTGACCACGTACATAGTGTAAATTTATACCATACAGAATAATGTACTGGTGCGGAAAACATTATTTTCTTATCCTTTCAATATGTATTAAACTGTGACTTTAATGATGATGGTTCCTCCCTCTTTCTAGTCCATCTTAAAGACATAAATTAGAATGGACATTGGAATGAATGTGTTGCTGTAGTAAACTAACAAAAGTTAGGTCTTAAAAAGTTGTAATTTCAATGAGCACAAATCTCCCTTCAATAAGTTTGAGCCCAGAAGATCGTCTAGCTTTCAAGCTGTTGTAAATGTTTATCTTTGAGAAATTCCCTTTTCCGTGTACTTTTTGTCCTTCAAACATATACATATAAATATGTATTCCTTAGGCATGACAGATATTGCTTGACATACAGTGGAGTTTCTTTATGAAGAGAATGAGTGGTTAAGGTGATGGACTAGAAATCCGAGGAATACCATGAAATCTCCACCTACCCACTGCAGAGAACATTAAGGAGGATCTAGCTAAGTTTACAATAGTTACTTTAGCTATTCTAGTCAAAGTGTTTAGTAAGCTAAGATATTTGAGACCTTGAGGGAGAAAATAGCCTCAAAAAGTGAGAAAAAGTGGGAGTTTGCAGGCTTTGGATAGGAGGGAGGAATAGAAATGGGTATAGGAAGATGAGGGTAAATTGGCCGGAGGAGGGCAGTTCAGTCGAGAGGGTGCATCGGGTAGTTCTTATGGTAGATAAGAGACAAACTAGGTCGCAGTTTGCAGTTGCAGGCCTGGAGGTCAGAAGAAGTTATCCATCGACCCGATGCACCTTACTCTGGAGCCGCATGCCATTAATCAGGAGAGGATCCACTGCAAGGACCAGGGGTTTTGTTGTGGGGCTCACCACCCTAGATGCATTTTTTGAAGTAATTTAAAATACATTTTTTGAATACTGTGGTTTCATAAATTTTTCGTTGGTATCAATTTTCGTGAATTTTATAAAAAGGACTTTTCCGAGGATACGTAATTTCATGGACAAAAGCATTGCCTATATACAAATGAATAGCAAATTCTCAATTCAATGAACATTTAAATTCGTTGATCTGCTCAACAACGAAATCCTCGAAAATTGGTGCTCAATGAATATTAATTAATGAAACCACAGTATTAACTTAATGTTAATTTCCTGTTTTCCAATAATTGTGTTCAGGGGGCATTCTATTACTGCCTCGGGCTTGAGATTCAGCTAACATCATGTTTTTCTTGTATTTTACTTCTTCCTGATGTTTTTCATAAAGTTTATATAATTTGTTACGATTAATTACCCTTTTTGTTTCATACAATTGAGTTTTCTGATACAATTTATTTAATTCCCCATGTTCATTTTGTATTTTATTCAGGGTCTGATCCACTTGGCCACCAGTGGGGATGGGGGCACCAACCCCTGCACAGAGGCTTCGGAGCTTAGGATCATGCGCCCGACCAGCAAAGTTTCTTTTGAAAGTACCGGTAACATTACGAGGCAGGGATTATCACAGAGTTCTGTTGAAGCTTTCGACCTTTTGTGAGTTGGTGTTTTTGATCGTCCTGTCCAGTACAGCTGGAAACAACCTCTTAGAGATGCAGGCTTGGAGCCTTGCCTCATTTTCCATGGAAGACGATATTGTAAAACCTTGACCTAAATAAAAACTCTTGCTAACCCAATTATTTTTGGGCGGAAGCCGCCTTTTACTTTTGCATGCTTTGTTGACCTTTCGACCTCTCAAGATGTTTGCCCCGCTTCATGGTACTCCAAACGGATGTATCTTAAACTAAGGGCATACAACCCGCTTAATCATATTTGACCCCTTCCCAATCTTTATCGTTATTATCAAATCAAAAAGCGTGTGTTATGGTGAATTTATTTTAACAATTTATTTTGATTAATGTAAAAAAGTCCAATAAAAATAATAGCCTAATAATAGAACGAATAGCTACTTTGTTACTGCTGATACGTTTCACGTTTGAGAGAAGAACGAACGACAACTCTGTATGTCTAAAACATAAACAAATCGGGTTCAACATTTGATTAGCACGGGGTACTGAAGCGATCTTTAGAAATACTACGAGGGACAAAATAGTTCAAGTAGGTAATTATGTTTAAGAATAATGACAGGTACATAGCTACTGAGGAACTTATCTTTTCAATAATCTTGAATGAAATAGAAGAAAAGAGGTATGTAACTCCTTTTATCAATTGTGTACTACATTCGCGTAATAATCTAACATATAGACGATTCAGCGTGAAATTATTGTCAACAAACCCACGTGGAGCACAAATGATTTACAATGATTGACTGGAAGTGACAGGCCTTCTCTTCAAAATAAATAAGGTAACTCACGCTGTGTGATTAGCCTATCTTTTATTGTCACCCTTATCTTTGATTGTTTTAACCTGAAAATGTCGCCTTCCTATGCAGGGATGCTTTAGATATCGTAATATGATAGCTGTTATGATCGGGTCTTATCGAACGACCTGGTACTCTAATTACCATGATTACATGCCTGGGAGAAATTATTTGAGGAATTATCATGCCGAGTTTGTGTATACATTTATATATCCTTTCTCATTTAATGTTAATACATGTATGTTGAAGGATGGGCCAAAACTGTAAAATCTGGACAGAAATTAAACGCAAGCATAAGAACCACATTGTGTTTTGTATAGATGTGTCCCTGCTACGGAGGCAGCTAACAGAAAGGGGATATAATTAAGATTGCATTGTGGATTTGCCCTGTGCCACCTCTAAATGGCAGAAGAAAACTCAACTCAGCACAACCAGAAACACTTTTCTGAAGGTGAGTACATCAATTTATTATATTTCTAGATAAGTGGAAAAAATTTTCATAACTTATGATACATATTTTTTATAGCATAACAAATCATCTTGTTATGATGGCAAAACTGAACCAAATACTATTTTTGAAAGTATATTTTGACTTTTCTTATTTTTGTTGACTTATTTTCTTTTCATTTTTTTTAAATACATGCAAATACATATTTACTTATAATAGTAGGCTTTTGAAAGAGAAAACAAATACAAAAAAATATTAGAGAAGTCAAATCAGTCAATATTTATCATGTTTAATAATCGCTTACTCGATATCTGACTTTTTCATTACATGTACAGATGATTATGAATTCCATTGGAAATAATTTTTGGTACTAAAATTAGTTATCAAATAAAACACAAATGCACAATACATGTACACCCAAAATTACAAAAGGTTGTTTTAATTGGATCTATTTCAAAAACTGCTGTATACACATGTAGGTTATATAACTAGCAAAAGAGAGGGGACAGATGTTGTTGGTCAGGATCGCTTCTTATATTATTTCATTTGTTGGTTGTTTCCAGTATATTTACATAAACTAAATACTACACAAGTTCACTTTCCGCAGTTTTGAATCTTTTGTTATTTCTATATACCCACTTCACTCTTGAAGTTGGTATAGTGGCATTAATTTCTTTGCATGTCAGATTTCACTGAATGAATGAATGTAGATCAAGGCGATAACGGGTGTTTTACAGCTAGGTGTGGATGAAGACATGCATATTACCATTTGCATGTTTTAGTTATAATTGATAAGTTTCTGATAAAAATGTGTACCTTGTAAAAAGAAATAATATACATCCGAGTAAACGAGTAACTTTTTTTTAGTATTCGATACTTGACTTCCCTAGAAAATATATTAAAATAACTGGTATATCATAAAAGGTTATTTGAAGTCCTTGATTTCATTTATTGAAAGTCAGATACATAATGTGAAATAATTTTTGTTAAATAAACATTGTGAGATATTCTTAATTTTTTTTTCAATTATACACTTTGTAGAAAATTCTGCCAAGAGACAGTTGTGAAGGGAATCGTGTAGAAAATCTCCCAGAAAAGAAATCACCACTGATATTGAGATCTATGTACCAATATTTTAATACAATCATCAAAGACAAATTTACCACAGGAATAAAAATAAAACTGTCTGGCATTCAAGGGCCTGCCATGGTAGAAGCAATTCATAGAACCACAAGCACATTGTAAATCTATGTAAGGTCTTCTGTGTATGTTGTATTCCTTATATAATTTGCTGTTTCATAACAAGACTTTGTTTCATTGGTACTAAAACTTTAATACATGTACACATACAAAACCCAAAAGCAGTTGTGATATTTATTGTTTTTTATTACTCATTAGTTCTCATTTTTGTGTGAAATTTTATAATTTTCCATTTCTTGTTCCCCAAAACCATATCTTACAAATTTTATGTATTGCAACTTGCATTTCAATTTTAACTTGTTATACTTGACAAAAAACAAGAGGTACTGTGAGCAATGAACTGACTAAATGATACCCCCGCCTCCCATATGATTATAATGGAAAAGTCCATGTTTTGCTGTGGCCTGGAAACCCAAAATATTTGTTGGATCAAAAAGTAAAAGAGGAGGTGCACAATAGCAATATGTAATAAAGATTCTGTGAAAGTTTCATTAAATTTCACTCATTGGTATGAGAGTAGTTGCGGATAAGATATGAGTACCCCAAAGCGTATCAGACAGACGGACGGACGGACTTATCGATTACAGTATACCCTCCCACTTTTCAAGCGAGGGTATAATAAATGTTAAAATGTTCATATTGCTATTGACGTACTTATTCTCATGTATCCGCATCAAAACCAGGACATATTGTTTATTCTTGTTCCTTGGTTTAAATACTACAATCCATCAAAATATTTATCACCCCCCCCCCCCCCCGCTCTTTAAAAAAGATTATGCTTCAAATATGTGTCATTAAAGTTTTGCACATGAGAACCTGCAAACATGCTTCCGCCTATCAGTACTCTCAGTACTTTGATTTACTTTATCCTTTTGCACACCAGAGAGTGTTTTCTGCATGATGCATGATCTAGCTCCCATGTAACATTTCACTATTGCATGTTTGGCATATGAGAGCTTGTTTTTTAATTTATCTGCATCTCCAATATATACTGCATGAGCTTGATTAGTCTCAGCTGTACATCTTTCAATAGCATCTAGGGCAAAATTTTGCAAAAGTTTGGTTTTTTCTGCTTTAGTTCTCTTTGGCATGCATGACCTCCAAAAGTTTCTGATCTTTTTTAATTGCCTTTTTGATCGACTCGGACAAGTGTTGAGTGTCAATATAATGTACTGGTTTATTTTGTAGCAGACCGTCCTTGTAGAGGGAATCTGCAGCTCGACCGACAGAGCTGTCCGGGTCAGTGGTTACCTCCCTTACCTCGAGGCCATCTTTGCAGAGGAGTTCCGTCATCCCCTCCCTAGCCCAATTGAACTCATCCCCAATGGTACATGTATGGGACATTGGTAGATTTGCCCACACACCCCAGGACTACACTGATGGTTAGCAGTGCCCTCATCAAGTAAGTGGCCATGTTTTGAGCAAATTTTATTTTTTCTAATCATTTAAACTATTTGATGTTTTGATGTAACATTTTCAGCAAATGAGTACACTGTCTGTGTCGCCGGCTGGAAGGGTGTCTCACCCACCCTCGAGTACAGGGCATTATTGTACATGCCATCCCACTGTATGGGGATGGCATGTGGGGAGTCACTTCCCCTTAGAGTGTTGACATCCACCAGCTGGCGACACCGGTTACTCATGTCAGCCTCATTTATATTTTCAATCATGGGCATAATTTATTTGACATTTTTTGTAGGGAATTACGAGTAGGAGGGGGAGTGTTGGTCAAAAGAAGAACTTTCCTCATCCCATCATTATCAGTTCTATAGGAGTTTGACTGAGGCCAATTTGTAGACCGTGATTCAGAGTGGCAGCTTTCCTACCCGGGGAATTGGTCTCAACCTCCTCGTAAAACTTGTACCGCTGGGAAACAAACAGGTATTTCGTGCAGTGGAGGCCCATTCTACTTGCAAGACCATGCCTTTCCTCAGATGCCAAGTTCCACGTGAGGGCCACTGAGGGGTCCATCACAGCCGGATGTCTGTAGCTGGTGCAGTGAGACAACTTCATTCCACATCTCGGCTGTTTTCCCCAAGTGTCAAAGTCTGTGGGAATTTTGGTTAGCCAGCCTAGGTAAGGTCACAATACTTTATTTGCATGAAACCGTCAACAGGTAGAAGAGCATGAGAGTAGTCATTAGAGTTATTTCCCTTAGACCTACTGACTAGACATACAGAACTTCAGCATCATGTAATTTTAATTGTTTCAACTTAATACTTATGATTTGTTTGTAAATGTTAAAATGTAATTCAGCTGCATGTATCACATTTAACTTTGCATGTATTTACATGTAGCTACATGTAATTGTGTATAACATGTAATCCCCCTTAGAATTAACTTTATTTTTTTTTTACATTTTTAACTTGATATCTGATATATGAATACTTAATCTGTAAGAATATTTGAAAAATATTGCTTTGTTATCATTGTTTTATACAAAATTTGACTTACTGCACTGATTCCTTTTCATTTAAGCACTAGCTGTGGTGGGGCTTCATCTCTCAGCTTCCTTGGGCAAAGAAGACAGTGGCTGATGTTCCCCGCACAAGCATTTCCTCTTTTTCCGCAGCTGACGGAGTGTCCTACACCATCTTATTCATCTCCTTGGACAGTCTGCTGTATGGTACGGGTAAGTTTTCCTCCTCTTTACTTTTCACCCCCTTATTATGTGGCACATTTTGGGGCTTGTAACCATGATCATGACCCTTTTTGAATTTTGGCATTGCTTTTAATTCTCCTTGTTTAGGCTTATAGTTCCGAAAACTTGACAAATAGTTTATGCTGTTTAAGGCTACAGTGACTGAAGTCTAATGTGTTATCAAAATGGGGAGGGGGTGTCTTTTGTCTAAATTAATTGTAAACAAAGATTATATAGGGGGCACCTGCTATTTCTCTTAATAAAGCTTCATTAGATGGGGAGGTGAAACTTTTTGCACATACTTAATCAGCAGGGGGGAACAGATAAGAATCTTTTGGTATATCAGAGTCAATAATGATTAACTTTTAATAATCAACAAAGAGTTTGCTAATTTGTCCTTTTGAAATCTTTGTATATTGCCTAATTTGCTAGGTTTTCATGCAATTTTGGACCTATTTTCAAATTTTGGGTAGAATCCACCCTTATGAAAAAATGGACTCAATTTTGACTTAATATCATTTTATTAACATCATAAAACAAAAAAAATTCATTGAACAAATATTTTATTTATTACAGTCACAAATATGTCCAAATACGATCACTGGTCAGAAAGTCATTCACTCTGTTGAACTGTGGTGGAAGCAGTAAGGTGTGACCTATTGGGATGGACACAGTATCCAATACACTGAAGTAACAGGACTCAAATTTCATACATGTTCACAGGTAGGTGTAAAGTCTTTGAAATTACCACAATTGACTAATTCTGGGACAGGTAAGTATGTAAGTATAGGAATGAGAGCACCAAATTCCCGGATGTACACATGGCTTTATTTGTTATGGTCATAACATTAAACAGAATACTGAATGGGTAGGCGTTATGCCCTTGGCTGAAATCAGGTATTTCATTGTTTTCATTTTAAAGTAAAATTAATGACGTTTGAAATAAATGATGGGATGAGGGAATATTACAGAAACTATAGAATTACCAGGGAAGATTTTAGGAGTGGGGGTTGATTTTTTATGTAGCGTGTTATTTACTGTGGATCTCTATAAGTTGAAAATTACTGCAATTTTGACCTATAAACGCCATGGGACCATATATTTGTTTCAGTATTTTTTGTTAGGGCTTAGAACAAAGTTTGAAATGATGCTAAGGATTTTTCTGAAATTGTCATAGTAAAGTACTGAGAGGGCCTAAGATTTGTATAGAGTTCACTTTGAAAATAATTGTTACTCTTTTCCCTATATTATAGAGAGATCTGGCTGTCACCATTGCTAGAGCTGCCAATCAAGGAGAGGATTATTTGATTGAATTGACAACCCAGATCTACATATGCTTCCAGGTATTTTTTTAAACACCTTTAATGTATTCTAATCTAAATTGTAAACATATTTCATAGTCTAAAAGAAATTCATGAATTCGTATTTTTTCATAGAGCCTTTCATTTTGTGCAAACTGAAGGTCAATGACAAAACTTCAGTTTGCACAAGGTCAAAATATGGAGGTGAAAGAGCACATAATGCTGATACTTTTTCAAAGTATAATTTGTTACAGATTCTTGTTTGTTTTTATTTCAGACTGCCCCTGAGATGTTTCCCTATGAAGAATTTCCTGTAACAGAGGTCAAGGTTAACACAGACCTCCACTTTCCAGGGGCCGGGTGTCTGGTGGTGTCCTGTAAAACAGACTCCAAGGCTGCAAAGAAAGAGTAGGCACATTACCTCTATTGCTACATCTTATGTTCAACAATGTGTATTGACACTGAATGACAGTTTAGCTCATCTGAGCCGAAGGCTCAAGTCAGCTTTTCTGATCGAAAGTTGTCTGTCATCTGTTGTCGTTGTTGTTGTCGTCTTTTGTAAACTTTTCACATTTTCATCTTCTTCTCAAGAACTACTGGGCCAATTTCAACCAAACTTTCTACAAAGTATCCTTGGGTAAAGGGGATTTAAGTCTGTTCAAATGAAGGGCCACACCCTTTTCCAAGGGGAGATAATTATGAATTAGAGAAAAATTAATGGCATTTATAAAAAACCTCCTTCTCAAGAACCACTAGGCCAGGAAAGATGAAACTCATGTGGAATCATCCTCAGGTAGTGTAGATTCAAGTTTGTTCAAATCATGACCCCCGGGGCTAGGGTGAGGCCAAAATGGCGAATCAAAGTTTTACATTGGAATATATAGGAAAATTTTTTAAAAATCTTCTTCTCAAGAACCATTGGGCCAGGAAAGATGAAACTCATGTGAAATCATCCTCAGGTAGTGTAGATTTAGGTTTGTTCAAATCATGATCCCTGGGGCTAGGGTTGGGCCAAAATGGCTGACGTTTATGTATCATAATTGTGTACATATGAAAATTTTCGATTATACTGTATACTTTATCTTGTCATGGATGTTTGTAAAAAATCTGAAACTTTTTTGATATGTAGATACATATGAGGACTATTCATATCACATAGGAAAGAAGATTTGTTTACTTTTCTAGGACGGCAGTCCGGTACTTTAGTGAGTGGAACAGGAATTGTTATTGGTGTATCAGACAAAGGTAGATTACATATTTCCACGCTCTGATGGAGGTTAATTTGGCGGTGGCAGAGTTGCGATATGAGGATTGATTCAAACCTCCTCCCAGTCTCAGAACTCAGTCCTCCTCCTCATCCTCAACTCTGGAGACTGCATCCTCTTCTTCTCTACATCCCCTCAGCAGTCCCACATCTTCTGCCAAGAGGAAGAAACTCAAAGCAAAAAGAGATAAAGAGAGAGGAGGAGCCGTGCCCAAGAGATCCACCACTGCTCAGCGGAGGAGCCGAGCCCAAGAGATCCACCACTGCTCAGCAGAGGAGCCGTGCCCAAGAGATCCACCACTGCTCAGCGGAGGAGCCGAGCCCAAGAGATCCACCACTGCTCAGCGGAGGAGCCGTGCCCAAGAGATCCACCACTGCTCAGCGGAGGAGCCGAGCCCAAGAGATCCACCACTGCTCAGCGGAGGAGCCGAGCCCAAGAGATCCACCACTGCTCAGCGGAGGAGCCGTGCCCAAGAGATCCACCACTGCTCAGCGGAGGAGCCGTGCCCAGGGTACAAGTGAGAGTGACCCCTCCATGTCTCTGAGCCCCACGTCTTCCTCGGATGTGACTCTGTCTTCTTCCTCGGCCTGAGCGGCCTCTTCGGATGTGACTCTGTCTTCATCCTCGGCCTCAGCGGCCTCTGCTTCCCCCTCCACCTCTGGGACTTCTATGGCCACTGGCGGGAGTGATCCTGGAAAGGGCGATCATAATGGAACTAATGTCAAAATGGAGAATATTCTGTGGTTACACAGAGCTGTCACTGTATCCAAAATCCTCAGGTAGTTATTTTAAAGCTTGTGTTAATAGTTTTGTTGATTTCAGGTTAAAATTGAAGGAAAAGTATGCATTTTCAAAATTATGGATTCAATTTTCTCTTGAAGTTAAATCAAAAGTTGAAAAATATATTCCTCTTCAGTAAACCTAAGTGAGTGTGTGTTTTTACAGGTGCTTGGGATTCAAGGAGAAGCATGGGAGATGTTTTCTGAATGACGCTGTATCAGTTGCAGCCATTACTCTGAGTAACCCCTCTGTGTCCAGTCGTATGCTGGTGATCACAGGAATTCCTCCGAGTACCTCCCCCAACACAGTAAAATACTCTGATCCTCATGTTGTTTTTTTTTTTAAAGAAATTTGAAAGATAAAACATTATGTATTACCAGGTAATATTTGGAATTCATTCAAAAAGAAAAATAAGCACCACAGTGCCTATTCTTTTAAACATAGTCTAATGTCTGTATTTATAATTTTCAGGTCACCAAATGCTCATGATAAGCCTGAAAAAGAGAAACCTAAAAAGTCTCCAAGGGTCTCCAAAGAGAAAGTGGTTTTGGGAGTTGTAGAAAAGTAAAGATATTTTATGGACATATATTGCAATTAGGAACTTTATGTAGTAATGTTTACTCTATTGTTTCCATGGTATTTGGATCCGGGCCACAATTAAAGGGTGAAGGTCAAATTGCTAAAATGTAGCACATGTAGGAAATTCATATGCCTCCCTTTCAATGATAAAAATAAAAATAGCTCACATGTTTTAGATACTTTTTGGGTATAGAATAAAAGTATATTGTCAAACGTTTACAATGATATGAAGCAAGGTGCATTTCAAGCGAAAATTATGCCTAGAAATATAAATTGAAAAGAGCATTCATGCTTCATGGTTATGAGAATTTTCATGTAATACATGTGTATTGTATGCTTTACAGTTTCAATGGTATATCGGGGGCTATTAGGGATATTAGAAATTTCATATAATTTTGCATAGTCTGTATAGTTTCAGAATTATACCTGAATTAATTGAAGTATAAATGGGAATTTCATACATGCAGTGTTGATTATGTATCTATGATTAACATAATCTTGTGTTACACGGGTTTATATAGGGATTTTTCATGCAGATTTGTAAAGTTTACTTTTTACTGTCTGTGTCATATATCTTGGGTTAAAGAGATGATTTAAATATGGAACTGTATACATAATACTATACAGGGAAATTTTCGCCCCCGTTATGTTTTCGCCCCTTTCGCCCTATCCTCCTTTGGGCGAATTTAAAATGGAGCGAATTCAAAAAATACAGTATAATTTCTTTTAAAAAAAATTGGCTGGGCGAGTTTAAAATGGGACGAAATTGTTTTCAAGCGTTTAAGGGCAAAAATAAGACGGGGCAAAAATAGCCCTGTATACAGTACATGTAGTTTCTATAATCCAGTTCTCCTGATACTTGGAAATAGTTTAACAGAGAGGTTGCTCTGTTTATTTTCTAATGAATTTTACTTAACTTTATAAGTAAGCAAACTTTTCAAAGTAGGCTTTTGAGTAATGTTTGTCATACATTATTAAGGATATAATATGCAACTTAATTGTTTAGGGTTATGGATTTATTGCATTATTTAACACAAATATCATTTCTCTGATTTATCTTTCACAGATTTTACAGATTCATTTTTGTATTGTGCACATGACATTTTCCATAATTGATCTGGGATTATATGACTAGCTTTGGAAATTCTTAGCAGTATTATTATATACACACTTTTTTAGCTCACCTGAGCCAAAGGCTCAAGTGAGCTTTTCTGATCACAATCTGTCCGTTGTCTGTCGTCGTCGTTGTTGTCGTTGACATCGTCGTCGTTGTAAACTTTTCACATTTTCATCTTCTTCTCAAGAACCACTGGGCCAATTTCAACCAAACTTGGCACAAAGTATCTTTGGGTGAAGGGGATTCAAGTTTGTTCAAATGAAGGGCCACACCCTTTTCCAAGGGGAGATAATCATGAATTTGTCAAAAATAAATGGCATTTTTAAAAAAAATCTTCTTCTCCAGAACCACTGGGCCAGGAAAGATGAAACTCATATGGAAGCATCTTCAGGTAGTGTAGATTCAAGTTTGTTCAAATCATGACCCCCGGGGCAAGGATGGGGCCAAAATGGCCGACCCAAGTTTTACATAGGAATATATAGGAAAAATCTTTAAAAATCTTCTTCTCCAGAACCACTGGGCCAGGAAAGATGAAACTCATGTGGAATCATCCTCAGGTAGTGTAGACTCAAGTTTGTTCAAATCATGACCCCCGGGGCAAGGGTGGGGCCAAAATGGCCAACCCAAGATTTACATAGGAATATATTGGAAAAATCTTTAAAAATCTTCTTCTCCAGAACCACTGGGCCAGGAAAGATGAAACTCATGTGAAATCATCCTCAGGTAGTGTAGATTCAAGTTTGTTCTAATCATGACACCCGGGGCAAGGGTGGGGCCAAAATGGCCAACCCAAGTTTTACATAGGAATATATAGGAAAAATCTTTAAAAATCTTCTTCTCAAGAACCACTGGGCCAGGAAAGATGAAACTCATGTGGATTCATCCTGAGGTAGTGTAGATTCAAGTTTGTTCAAATCATCACCCCTGGGGCAAGGGTGGGGCCAAAATGGCCGACCCAAGTTTAACATAGGAATATATAAGAAAAATCTTTAAAAATCTTCTTCTCAAGAACCACTGGGTTAGGAAAGATGAAACTCATGTGGAATCATCCTGAGGTAGTGTAGACTCAAGTTTTTTTCAAATCATGACACCCGGGGCAAGGGTGGGGCCACAATGGCCGACCCAAATTTTACATTGGAATATATAGGAAAAATCTTTGAAAATCTTCTTCTCAAGAACCACTGGACCAGGATAGATAAAACTCATGTGGAATCATCCTGAGGTAGTGTAGATTCAAGTTTGTTCAAATCATAACCCCTGGGGCTAGGGCGGGGCCGAAATAGCCGTCCCAAGATTTACATAGGAAGATATAGGAAAAATCTTTAAAAATCTTCTTCTCAAGAACCATTGAGACAGGAAAGATAAAACTCATGTGATATTATCCTCGGTTAGTGTAGATTCAGGTTTGTTCAAATCATGACCCCTGGGGCTAGGGCGGGGCCAAAATGGCCGACCCAAGTTTTACATAGGGATATATTGGGAAACCAATGGGGGGTAGTGGGTGGCAATTTGGGGGAGGGTAGTGTGTGGCAAGTGAACCATAGCAATAAGTTATTTAGAAATTATCTAAATATAAGTATTAAAGATTTTGCTTTGTTTATTTCTTTTCATTTTGTTGACTTACATGTATCTATAGATAGTAACAGTAATGAATTTTGCAGACAAACATGAAATTGTCTATAATGTTTGTCATGATCTCTTTACACATACCCCAAGTACTTCCTAAAGTAGGATAAAAGAAAAAAAAATATTGACCAACTTGTTTTAGGTGTGCATTTGCTGAAGAGAATTAATTAATTCTTTTCAGGGCTTAGAACTGTTTTTAAATTGGTTATGTAAATACCTGGTATTTGCAGAGACATGAAGACTATATGTTGCGCTTTACGATTCATGAATTAAACTCGGTCAAAGATGATTCAAAACTCAAACATGCAGAGCACTTTACAATGCATATTTGGATGCTTGCATTTGACACTCTTAATATCTTTAAGTGTGCTCTAGACAAATACTATAGTACAGTGCAGGCTGCTTTAATGTACTTGATATTCTAAAGATCATACTTGCATATGTTCACCTACACATATGGATGCTGATAGCCTTAATTGCTTTGTATACTGGTAGCCTTATGCTTTGTATGCTGATGCTGGTAATCTTATGCTTTGTATGCTGGTAGCCTTATGCTTTGTTTACTGGTAGCCTTATGCTTTGTATACTGGTAGCCTTATACTTTGTATGCTGGTAGCCTTATGCTTTGTATGCTGGTAATCTTATGCTTTGTATACTAGTATCTTTATGCTTTGTATACTTGTAGCCTTATGCTTTGTATACTGGTAGCCTTATGCTTTGTATGCTGGTAGCCTTATGCTTTGTATACTTGTAGCCTTATGCTTTGTATACTGGTAGCCTTATGCTTTGTATACTTGTGCCTTATGCTTTGTATGCTGGTAATCTTGTGCTTTGTATGTTGGTAGCCTTATGCTTTATATGTTGGTAGTTTTATGCTTTGTATACTGCATCTGACCCGTATCTACACTATTTCATCATAACTTGCTTTTGTTGAAAGTCAATAATCAGCCTTGCTCATGGGGTACATCCACCTTAGGCTTTATTTTCAGGTGCTCTGGTATTCCAGGGTTTTGTGTATGTTCAATTTATTTCTATCATTTATATGTCAGAGCTGTAATTATCTGTTGCAATTTTTTTTATGTAAATAAATATGTTGATGAATTTGTTATTAGTTCTATAAATTTTTATGGACATTTCTTGTCTATCATGCAATGCCTTAGAAACTAATAGGCCTTTATACATAGGAGCAGCATGGCACAGTGGTTGGATCATTTATTGTAGAGTTATGTCTGAGTACTAGAACTTTTTACCTAGAAATATCT